ACATAGCATTTATTCTGAAGCCCATGGATAAAGGAGTAATTTTGACTTTTAAGTTTTGTTATTTAAGGAATACATTTTTTAAGATGACAGCCACCACAGATGGGGATTCCTCTGATGATCCTCTGATGGATCTGGACTAATAAACTGCAAACCTGGAACTGATTCACCAATCTAGATGGCATTAAGAACATTTGTGGCTCATGGCAGGAGGCCAAAATATCAACACTATTGACACTGAGTTTGGAAGAAGTAGATTCTAGCCCTCATGATACAAGACTTCAGTGAAGGAACTAACTATAGATGTGGTGAAACAGCAAGAGAACTAGAAGTAGAGCCTAAAGATGTGAGTAAATTGTTGCAATCTTTTAATAAAACTTGAATGAATGATGAGTTGCTTCTTAAAAATGAACAAAGAAAGTGGTTTCTTGAAATGGAAACTACTCCTGGTGAAAATGCTGTGAATATTGTTGACAGGCAAACAAACGATTTAGAATATTACATAGATATAGTTGATAAAGCTGTGGCAGCATTTGAGAAGATTGACTCAAATTTAAAAGAAGTTCTAGTATAGATAAAATGCTATCAAACAGCATCACATGCTACCGAGAAATATTTCCATAAAGCAAGTTTGATTTAGCACATTTCATTGTCTTTTTAAGGAAAGTGCCACAGCCACCCCAGCCTTCAGCAACAATTACCCTATTCAGTCAGCAACCATCAACATTGAAGGAAGACCTTCCACCAGCAAGAAGATTATGATTAGCTGAAGGATCAGATGATTATTAGTATTTTTTTAGTAATATTTTAAAATAAAGTATGTACTTTTTTAGACATAGTGCTATTATACAACTAATAGACTAAAGTATGGTATAAACATACCTTTTATATGCACTGGAAAAATGAAAAATATGAGTGACTTGTTTTACGGGGATATTTGCTTTACTGTGTGGTCTGGAACTAAACCCAAAATATCTCTAAAGAATGTTTGTATGCTACCCACCCATTAGTCACTTGGCAACCATCTTGGTTATCAGATTAAAAAAAAAAATCTATATAGGGTCCAGTGTTATTTGTTGTTTTAGACACCCACCAGGGTTCAAAGTATCCCCCACAGATAAGCAGGAGGGGAAGAGGTACTGCTATAATCTACTCAAGATTCTGAAAGGTTAGGCTTGGCGCCTGTGGCTCAA